AATTGATTGGTGGCCCTGTACTTCATATGGTAAATATCCACTTAAATTCTATTTTATCCACCCATTTTTTTAATATATTTCCCCTCAAATTCTATTTTATTTCATATGATAAATATATAATTCTGCACTTCAATTTTGCTTCAACGTTTAACTTAATACTTGAATTAATTTCTTTTATTCAAATCAGTATTTTAATTTAATTTATTGATTTAAATAAGTACTTATGATTTTAATCAGTTTTAATTAAGAAGTTAAATTTAAGTACCAATTTAACAAAAAAAAAAGTCAGGTGCCTCATCAAAAAATCAAGAAATTTTGTGTTAGTCCAATGAAAAAAAATTATACTTGACCCTCAAAAAGTATGAATTATGATCAATCTTTAGAGAGAAAAAAAATCACAAATTCACTCCTAATTAGCGTAGTTCAAAATAAATATATAAACAATACATGACAGTATAATATCCTAAGCTGGACCTATTCATAAATACAATCAAAGATGTCACATAAGATAATCAGAGTACAATCCAAATTAGTTTCTGACTAAAAGTAAGCATTCAATCATTTAAAACATGTATTAATAAAAACTGCGAGACTAAATTATTTTACCTATCAAGTATAAGGACTAAATTGCATTTAATGACATTTGGAATGCTTAAAACAAATTTCCTTTTTCTTTTTAAAAAATAATATCAAAACCAAGCAATGAATTCATATCAATTAGATCAATGGCTGAGTAACTTATTCCTCCAAGCATTCGAATTTCCACTATGAACTTGAGCTTAAAATCCATTTCACCTTTTACCAACACAAAAACCACATAGTTAATTGTAATTTCAATGATCGACAGTTGTGCATGAAACAAAAGCGTTAAATTAGAGCTTCATTACACCCAACTAAATTACAAAATCTATCTTATACTAAATGAAGCTTAGCTTAGAGTTCTCCAAATTCCTACTTAAATCTCACGTGCACTAGGATTTTGATTTCATTTTCAATTCTTCTCTCTAGATCTTCAAGTGTTCAATAATGGTGGAAATAACGATGGTGAAGAATATGAATGCAAAGTGTTGGCTTCCTCTTTGGCAATTTCAATTGGTTAAGAAAATAATAGTGTTTTCTTCTATTTTAATAAAATGTAGACAACTATAAATATATATAGGGTTAGGATCTGTTTACACAATGTAAAACTCTTTAGTTTTATATAGATTTAGGATCGTTGGATGAGTGAAAATAGATAATTGAAATTGACTCATCATTTTCCCCCAGTGGATATCTTCCCATTTCCAACTGTTAATCTCAGTCATATATTTTCACTCATCCAACGACTCAAATCTGTGTAAAACTAAAAGAGTTTTACATTGTGTAATAGGATCTTTACACACACACGAGTATATATGCATTCTTTAAGCTCGGTATGTACTCACCCTGAAATCTGAATTTTTTTATGTTAGTTCATTTTGTTGAAGGTGTCCACATTGAAATTTTATTTATGTTTGTCCCATATGATTTTTTTATTAATAATACATACGTGTCCACCCTGAAAAATATTATAGATTCACCACTGTATTTATCTAACTCTACTAAGGTTAGAATCATATCTAATCACCACCAAGGTTAGAGTCATATTTAATTTTATATATGTTTCCGAATATCACAACATATTTATCTTATACATGTACGAATGTTAAACACATTTTTTATTATCATACATTCATATCATACACTTATATAATCACTTATACAAAGTATTTTTACTAGGTTAGTCGAAACTTAAGAATTTTGCATCTGAACATAACTAGAAAACATTTTTAGTCATTCGAATCAATCGTACACACATCTAACATATTTCAGACAATTCGAAGGTCTCAACACTTCGTATAATAAGCTAGCTTATAAAACATACTCATCTTCCACTGTGGATATATCAACACTTTGAGCCGCCACGTTAACATCATAATGGTTAACGACGATTTTAATAGATCAAAAGATCATATTGAATTTTTATCAATTAAATAGTCACATTAAGTGCAAAATAAATTCAAGAGTAACACTAATTTTTATAGAAAAAAATTAAGGATCTCATATACTAGTAGGGACGAATCTACCTTGAAGGTGAGAGGGGCAATTGTCCCCTAATTTTGATGGTTTAATTAGTTTTAGGCTGCTTTTTTTAAATCATTATAATTAAGTCATTATCCTTCCCAAAAATTATTGGTTTAATTATATTTGAGGGCCCTTTTATTTTTAAAATTAAATTTTGCCTTATAATTTTTCTGGTTTAATTACACTTTAAGACCTTTGAATTTTAAAATTAATGAAACTAAATTCTAACTCTTTTAAATTTTCGATTTATTAAATTTTAATTATCTTATTTATGTCAAAATCAAACAACTTGCCTTCCTTGTAGTTCAATTCTAGCTTCATCCCTGTATACCAGTAAACCTACAAAATTTAACCATTAAAAAAATCAAACTTATGATTAAGGGGGGGAAATATCAAACTTAGCTAAAAATGTAACAGACGTGTAGGTTCATTAAGAGAGGCGTTTGTGTTTCTTCTACTTTGGCTGCGAAAGAAAGACAAGAAAAGCATCTAAACAAGAATCTATCAAGGAATAGTAAGCATTGACTTTCAAGCAGCAAAGGGAGACTTTATCATTCAGTTCATCTGGTTATTCCTTTGAATTTAACCACCAGTTGATAAAGCAAGGGCTATTGAGATTATGAGTTGGTCTCATATTCTAGGCTCGAATTGCGTTGACTGAAAATTCTGAAAAAAAAACGGGGGATAGAGTGGTGGGTTCTTTGAGCCCCTCCGGAAGTTACCTTGTAAGGTCGGGTTCTTTAACCTGCCCTTGGGAGATCCTCCGTTATAAAAAAAAATTAGTCACATAATGTTGGCGTTAAAAAGAATTAAGGAATTAGGATTTCAACGAAATTAATTTGAGATCTACGTTGTTATTATTATAGAATTATTGAAATTTATCATGTTTATTTAAAGAATTTTAATAAAAATATTTTTTAATTAAACTCGTTATTTCTATTTAATATGACCCATATATTTTTAATTTGATGGAAATCATTATTTTATTGTGAAGTTTGATTTATTAATCCTATTATAGAAACAGTTTTCTCCTATCTATTTCAACGTAGTTACTCTCCGTATCCTCTTTCTCTTCTGTCTAATTCTTATCTGAATAATAAAGAAAATGGAAAACAAATAAAGAAGAGTTGAAAGTCATTTTCATCCACCCAAATAAGTGATTTTAAAGATTATTAAAAAGGATATAGAAAACACTCCAATATAAATCATTGGAATTCTTATTGGTTTTGTTAATTTTTCATATTGTATTGGTACTATTTAGGTGGTGTTTGTTTTCACTGTGTAAGTTCTTCAAATCACTTATGTCTGCGTCGCGCAGACCACGCGCAGACATTAGGCTTCGCAGACTGTTTGTTTTTTAGAAGACAGAAGCTCTTCAAACGTCTGCGCGAGCTCTTCTTGGTGCAGACTTGGTTTTATGTCTTCAAAAGTCTTCAAACCTCTTCAAAAACAATTATAAAATATAGTTGTTTATTAAAATAATTTTAAATAATTTAATAAGGTTATTTATTTTAAAATAATTTATTTTAAAATAATTTTTTAAAATAATTTATTATAAAATAATTTATTTTAAAATAAATTATTATAAAATAAATTATTATAAAATAAATTATTTTAAAATAAATTATTATAAAATATAGATTGATTTATTTTAAATAATTTATTAGTATGAATTGATTTATTTTAAAATATGTATTGATTTATTTTAAGTACTTTATTAGTATGAATTGATTTATTTTAAAATTAGTATGTATTGATTTATTTTAAAATATGGATTGATTGATTTTAAATAATTTATTAGTATGGATTGATTTATTTTAAAATATTGATTGATTGATTTTAAATAATTTATAAGTATGGATTGATTTATTTTAAAATATGGATTGATTTATTTTAAATAATTTATTTGTATGGATTGATTTATTTTAAAATATGGATTGATTTATTATTGTAGTTGTATGAATTGATTTATTTTAAATAATTTATTAGTATGGATTGATTTATTTTAAAATATGGATTGATTTATTTTAAATAATTTTTATAATTGCAGTAACTATTATTTAAGTTTGCAAAAAAGTTTATCAGTTATATTTCAGTTCATTTTAGCAGTCTGCAGACGTTAAAAAACAAACAGTCTTCTTCTTGCAGACTACAGACTTTTAGTCCACCTCTTCTGCTGTAGATGCCTGCAGATGTGGTCCGCAGACTGCAGACATTTTACCTCTGCAAAAACAAACACCACCTTAGTGATGTTAACTTTTCTTATTGGTATTGGATTTGTATTTTCTACATTAAACTAAAATTTACTAATATTGTTTACTTCATTTAATATGAAGAAATGTGATATATTAATAAAAGTTCATTGTATCATACATCTCCAACTCTTATTTTAAATTGGTTATTAAATTTTTTAATATTCTAATTTCATCCTTAAACTATAACTCTCATTCTAAATTAATCCTTAAACTTGCGAACATTCTAATTACATCCCTAAACTATGACACTTTCTAAATTGGTCACAAACTTTTGAATAATCCAATTTTATCCCCAAATTCATCCAATTATGTTATTAGTTTCAACCATAGATTAACCAAAATTTTGTAATTGAAACATATAATAATATAATTTGGCTTAATGATGTTATTAACAATAGATGTGATTGGTATACACGTATAGTTTGGGATGAAATTGAAATGTTAAAAAATTTAGGGATCAATTTAAAATGATGGTCATATTTTAGATATGAAATTAAAACATTTAAAAGTTTAGAGATCGATTTAAAATGAAGATCAAATTTTAAAGACATGTAATACAATTAACTCTATTAATAAGAAAACACAACATTGTAGGTATATTAAAAAGTTGTGACATAAACGTGAAATTATTATAGTCGCTTGGGTTTAACAACTTAAAAAGATTCGACATTATTTTCAAGTAAATTAAAAAGCTAATAGCAAGAAGAAGGGAGGCGTGGAGTTATGAGAAGTTGAAGGGGAGTGGCTTTCAGATTCGTCAGTCCAATGCCTTCACTCATATCAACTACTTCGTCCAATGGCGTCTTCAACTCGAACCCTTGCACCACACTAGCCAGTACCAGTTCCAACACTTGAACCCCAAACGAAACTCCGGGGCACATTCTACGACCACTCGAAAATGGAATCAGCTCGAAATTCTGGCCTCTAAGATCAATATCTTTGTGGGTTGTTAGGAACCTTTGGGGACGAAATTCACAAGGATCGGACCACACTCGTGGGTCGCGATGAAGTTTAGAAAGATTGATGAACAGTCGGGTCCCTGCGGAAATGTGGTAGCCTCGAACAGTGCAGTCTTCCATGGATTCATGGGGCACCCCAAGTGGTCCGGCGGGATATAAACGCAGTGTTTCTTTGATGATTGCTTTAAGGTAGACTAAGTTCTTAATGTCTGATTCTTGGACCAATCTCTCTTTTCCGACATGAATGTCTAGTTCTTGCTGTAACTTCCTCAGTTCATCCCTGTTGTTGAGTAGTAAAGACATAGCCCATGTAAGTGTCACCATTGTTGTATCTGAAGCTGCTAAGATCATACTCTGCAATATTGACGAAATCTTGAGCTTATAAAATATTGTTTCATAATTATTCTAACTATAATTGATATACGAACCAGGCAGGAGGCTTTGTTGATGGTATCGGCATCATGCTTCTCTGTCTCCATGGTCATTGAAAGCATAACATCCATGAAATCTTCGTTGTTGTTGTTCGATGTATCAGTTGATGATCTCTTTCGCTTGTGATCTTGTAACCATCCCTGAGCTACTTCGTCTAGTTCTTTTTTTACTTTCTTCATCAACCTCTCGTCTCCCCCGATGTCGAACCATCTTAAATATGGCAGCGCATCGGATATCACGAATTTCCCGCTCAAATCAAAGAAATCCTTCAACGCTTTCTTCCATTTCTCACTCTCTGCATCAGTACCAGAACTCGGAATCCGTTTCCCTACGATCATCCTTAGAATCACGTTAAGAGTTGCACTCTCAAACCATTTCCTCATGTCCACCAAAAGGTTATCTGATCCATCTTTTTTCTCGTCCCAAAGCTGATATAACTCTTTCAGCGATGTTTTGATCTCGGATTCTCGGACATGCCTGAGTCGTTCGAGGCGGTAGTTGGAGAGGAGCTCAAGAGTGGCGAGTTTACGCATTTGACGCCAGTGATTTCCGTAAGGGGCGAACCCAAACATGGCGTGGTTGTAACTCAAGAACTCCATGACAAGTGTGGATGGACGATTGGCGAAGGCTTTGTCGTTGACGGTTAAACACTCTTTAGCAGTTTCATGGTCGCTGACGATCAAAGCTCTGTGAACACCCATCTTGATGGTGAAGATCGGACCGTATTTCTCGGCCATTTCGCTTAGGATTTTGTGGGGTGGTTTGGGTCCTCTTAGGAGGTGGAGATGGCCGATCACAGGCCATGAATTTCCAGCTACCGGTGCTTCCGTCTTCCTGTTTATGGCCTTCCAAGTATTCCTGAATATCCATATTAGTGAGAACAGAAAGATTATCGAAGCGAGAATAGTTGAAGTTGATGAAAGTGAATGAAACACATCCATTTTGAGAGTCGGCGACTAAATGATTATGTAGTTGCATGTTATATATAGATAGAACAGGCGCTAGAGACGAATTAATTGAAATGTAGAACCTGTTTAATCACCCGTTTGATTTTGTTTAGTCTTTTGTCAAAAGCCACCGGCGTTTACTATGTATAATTACATGAATATACCTTCAATATAAATAAATGTATATAAAATTTCTTAAAATGAAATTCGATGTTTTGAGTTATATTTATTATGGTAGATCATCTGATTAAGAGAGATGGACGATCTTTCATATTTAAATCTAGTTTGTAAATAAATGTAAAATCGTTCACGAAAAAATATATTAAATTGATTCTTTTAATCTTTGTGTTAATTTTTTTTTATACCCTTACGCTTTTTATATTACAATTGTGTTGATTGCAAATCTTATTTTTATTTTAAAAAAAATCTAAATTTATTTTAAAAAAGTTTTTTTAAAAATTAAAATTTAGATTTTTTAATTCAAACTTTTGACTATGTATAATTTCAAATTTAAATAGAGTCGTATAAAACTCTAATATATCTAACATCTTTTTAAAGTTAAAAATTATTTATTATTTATTTATTAAAATTTAGATTTTGTATTCAAACTTTACACTATGTATAAATTCAAACTTTAAATAGAGTCGTGTGTCCAAGAGTATATTTTTAAAGAGCCAGCTGTTGGCCTGTTTAAAAATATATCTAATACTTTTTAAAGTTAAAAATTATTTATTATTTGTATAACTTTAATATATTTTTAATAATTTATCAATTAAAACGTTTTATATTTAATTTATTCGATTTTTGATGTATCATCTAAATGAAATGTAAAATGTGATGGAACTATAAAAATATTAGTAACAAAAAATGTTTTCAAAATCGGTAAAAATACTTTCCAATTTAATGCTAGTGAAAAATAGTAATCTGGTTTACAAGGCAAATTATTTATTTGACCATTTATTTATTTTGATCATCTAATTGTATTTTTAAAATCAAATATTATATTATATTTTTTTATTTCAATCATTTACAATTAAATTTAACCGCTTAATCTAACAATAATAATAATATAATAACAATTTTAATTCTTAAAATTTATTTATTCTATCTTTTTAGCCCAAAGGACATAAATGCCATTTCATTTGCTAACTTTAAAATCTATAAAATTTACGTAATTTCTTCTCCATACTCATCTTTTCCTTATATAATCAACATCATCACGTGGCACACAAAGGATTTTTTTTTTTTAAATTTGATCAATATCTCAACACCCCCAAAACTCTACAAAATTCTTCATTAGAGCATAGGATATACGTGTGCTTATCTTAAAATTTGAATTATCTTATTAATTATTTATTTTTTTGATGATATTTATCTTGAAATATTATATATGTCAACCTCAAAAATATTTGGGTAAAGTACATAAATGGTCTGCTAACTATTGGGTATTGTTTTATTAAGTCTCCTGACTATTAAAAGTTACAAAATGATCACTCTACTATTTATGTGTTCCACACTTATCTTTTTCATTAAAGAACTGGTGATTGTATGAGTTGAACATTAATATATTGACTAGGATATGATAAAATTTGATCCAATAATTATTTTATGTCGTCGAATCAGTGCTTGAAAACAACGACAATGTCAATAATATCATTAAAAATATGATTTTTACAATATCCGAGTTAGCAGGTTAATGTCCATCTTAGATGATAGTCAATTTTTAATAGAAAAGTATGAGTTTAAAATATATAAATAATAGGGAACTCAACAAAATAACGTCTTATAACTGAGTGGCTATTTTATAACTTTTAATAGTAAAAAGAATCAATAAAATAATATCCTATAATTGAGAGACCATTTGTGTATTTTACCCAAAATATTTTGGGTCGGTCACTATTTTTCATACAGGTTTAAATTTAAAACACTTGGCACCAACTCGATTCCAAAATACCTTTCAAAGGAAACCCTTGAATTGGGCCTTGAATTGTGTTGGAATTTTAAGCAAATTTCGCTAAGCACTTTAATGAAAGCCTGAATCTTAGGAACATAACTCTGACCAAACAGAACCCAGGTGAATAGTGAAGAAAGCGAAATGAATGATATGTCTTATAACAAATGGGCTGACTTGGATCGAAGAAGATAATGAAAAATGCTTCGATGGGCATGTGATATGATTGTGTGGGACATGACATCAAACTCTGTTATTAGGATGTCCTTGGGGGTGGTGTCTGTATCTAAAAAATTGAGGGAATGAAGACTAAGGTTGTTTAGGCATGTCCTTAGGCGACAACTGTCGGATGCGGTCAGGAGGATAGAGTCAATTACAGTCGACGGTGCCAGAAGGAGAGGAAGACCAAGGCGGAAGTGGGAAGACTGTTTGAGATCTGATTTGAAGGATTTAACCCTTACCGAGGACATGACCTCTGATAGGAAAATATAGAGACTTAAGACCAGGGTAGTCAAGTAGTGCGGGTCACAGCCATAGGGTGTAACATCTCTGTCTTCTTTTTAATGCATTTGTAGTAATTTCCATGACTTCTACTTTTTATATGTTTCTGCCATTCGAATTTATGAAGGCTTAAAACTAGGGTAACAGAGTAGTGTTGTCTTAGTTTAGGTTTTAACCCTTTTGATTTTTTACTTCTCGTTGCTTGCTATCGTTGAATTCTGTGTATCATTATATTAATGTTTCCACTTTTTAAATTTAGTCGGGTCTTACGTTTCTGTCTATATGCAGGGATTTTTACGCAGGGATTTATTTGCAGGGATTGCTTACCATTACAGACGCGCATATGAAGACTGCATACGAAGACTGTTCAACTATGTATTTATGTATTTATTTATACATGCATTGTATTTTATCTTTATTTTTAATTTTCTAATTGCCGGAGGTCTTCTACGGAAGTTGCTCTCAACCTGACGTTGGGGGCAACCTACTACCTTACCTCTCTCTCATCTTATTACATATGAGAATATGATTTTGTTGTTGTTGTTAAGTTGAAACTTCTAATATAAAATCTGTCTTTATTCGGAAGGAGGTGTTGGTAGAGAGATTAGTGCATCATGGGTGGTTCAAGACGAGGAGACGGTTCCCAATGGAAATGAGATAGGGCGGTTACGCATGCATCAGGAATATCGTCATTGTAAATCCGTGTGGAATTTCCCATAAAGAATATGAGATAGGGCGGTTCAGGATTAAAGGCTTACGTGGAAATTTCATGGGTTTGGTGGAGCAAACCGGTTGCCACGTCTTCCGGGAATGGATGGTGGGGAACAACAATATTTGAGAGAAATTTTAATATTTTGTCAGATTAAATTCATGAATTTTTTAAATATTAAAGATTTATTAAATAATTTTAAATTATAACTAATTTTATTAAAATATAAATTTTTATAGGATTAAATTTATTATTAAAGCATAGCGCATCATCATTATTATTAAATTAATAATTAAAATTAATGACGGATGATTAATATAAAATTAAAATACAATTTACCTTTTTTAATTATTTTTTTTTACTTTGTCTGTAAATTGTGCCGTTGGCTACAATGTGATGCCATTGATGTCGATATAAATTGAAATCATTAAAAATGGGAATTGCTTTGCTTTTGTAGAAGAAATATATAATATTAGTTTAATAAACGTTAAAAATATAAAAATTGATAAAGACTATGGAAAGATACTTTCTAACTTTTTACAGCTAATCACACTCTAATTTAACTTGGTTGGTTAGTGTGATGTGGAAACGAGCTTCTTCTGGCATAAATTTTCATAGTTCTTTTCGTGTGCTCCTCGTTTGAGTTTGATTTCTTTTTGGTGTTTTATTTGATTTATTAATTTAGTTTAGGGTTTAGGGTATAATAATGTAAGAACATTGCAAGGGAACTTGATTGCAAAAGTTGTTCAAAGACTACTACAACAGGTTACAGGATTGGATTGGGAGGTGGTAATACAATATTTTTTATATACTTTACTCAATTGAAATAAAGGCTAAACTACATATTTGATCACTTTAGTTTGGATTTTATAAACCAAGGTTTACTGTATTCAAAAAACATATATTTTAGTCACTTTTATTATCGTTTTATTAAGATTTGGTCACTGAGATGTTAGTGGAATCCTTCTCAGATTCCTTCAGTGGAAAGCATAGATGGTGGGGGAGCAGGAAAAAGAATGTAGGAAGGGGACGGCTGTAGAGAAAATAGAGTTGTGGAGAGGTGTAAAAAGGGGTAATTTAAAATTTTATCCTTAAACTAATTTTTATTTACAAAAAGACTCATGATTAATAATTTATCTAAAGTTTAAGGTCTAAAATAAAAATTAAACTTTTTTACTAACATACTAAGTCATCAAACTCACAGTAAATAATTGTCTCACTAAATCTTAATAAAATGACAACGCAACGTAAGTGACTAAAACTTATATTTTTTAAATCCAATGATCATAGATTTATAAAACTCAAATAAAAATGATATTTACCTTAAACTTGAAATAAACTATAGGAATGTAAGGATGATATTTTAGATTTGTATCCAAATTCGTAAATTCTGAGAGCGCTGTAGAGTATTCACCATTTCTCGCATGTAATCGGTTTTCGATTAATATTTTTCAATTATATAAATGTAAATCTTAAAATTACATTAAAAGGAGGTTTGAAAACTTTCCTTACGATTGATGATGACTCTAAACCATTTTAAAATCAAATTTTCAATTTAATCTGAATTTTCAGACTTCTTGGGTTGAAGTAGCAGTTAGCCCATTACTTTCAAATCCATTTATAAACTCGTCCTGCAAGAACTCCACTAATCCATATCCTCGTAGTTATATATTTAAAAACCATTTTATTCTTAATTTCCAAAAATATTTTTAGATAACTATTAATAAATCAATTAAGGAATTTTTTTTACATATTAAATATGTTTAATAGTATGTATATTTACGTACAAAATAGGTTAGGAAAAAATTAATGAACCGAGAAGATAAAAAGAAGTGTAGACATATAATTACAACCTGGTCGTGTTTTCTAAAACTGAACAAACATTATATGTAAACATATAATTACAACCTGGTCGTACAGTGGCAAAGGATATCGACTGCGTTTTTAAACTATAGCAACATAACTAATTGCCGGCACGTAACGATGATGCGTCGACTACCTTGTCTATGTTCGGCAGAGTGCTCGGGAGACGGTTTACTCGGTTCAGAGGAACTACTGGTGGGAGAACATGGAAGATGCTAACATTCAGCATAATTGGTTTACTTCCTATATTTGCAGGCTCAAATACACACACATCGTGTTCTTCTAACTTGTTGTCATTCACAAACTTCCTCCATCCCGCCGAAAGGCCTCCTCGTTCTTGACTTCGGTGATAATAATAATGAAATCGGGTCTTCCATGTGCGCTCATTCATTCGAAGGATCACATCTGCTTTTGCTCTCGAGAGATATTTAACCACCCATGCATTAGGGACGGACTGCACAAACCCGAACACATGGCTGAGCTTTAACATCATCGTATAACTTGATTGGACAAACAATGCATACATGAAAACCACAATCGACGAATAAAATAAAGTACGATCGAGCTCGGGAATGAAGTTTACCATATAAAACTTTCTGTCCACATGTGTGGGCTTCATAACTACCATAAAACCTTCATCGGTTAGAGCTTCTTGAGCCTTTAAGAGGACATTCATTTTCTCAGCTTGCGTCGCAACCCTTTTACCTGTATCATGCCACAATGAACCAAAGACATCGCCATCCGTTGTCGTATGTTCATACTCTGAATAATGTGTATATTATCAATCACCCAATTCGAGCTACGATAGTGAAAGTAACATCATCCAAATATATATATATAGAAACAAAATGCATAGGGAGTGACCATAATATTAGGTGCCATGTTAAACAAACTAGTATCAAAAGTTAATAGATTCAACCATGGAATGCATAGAGTGACCGTAATATGTTCAGAATAAGTCTTTGAAGTGCTCCTACCAGTTTCGAGTCTTTCTACCTTCACTTTACCAGGAAAAGTAGAAAGTTCTTTGCCTCCAAGGCTCCGTTTCACAGGGATACCAGAATCCAAATTTCGGATCTTCTTTTTCTTATTAGTAGCCGCAGACTCAACAGCTTCCCTTGATTGCCTCACATTGATGTCATTGTTAGTCGATTTCTCCAGACTGCTTTCAAGGCCACACTGCGAAGAGTTGTGCACAATTTCATCAGGATTTTCACTCAACTTCCTTTTCGTTTGGTGACCACATTCGGATTCCGAATGCATACACTTCCTAACAAAATAAGAAGATGCTTTCTCACACAAGCTTTCCCCATCAAACATCAGAACATTGAAATGGGACAATCCATTGTATCTGAAGACCAGGAAGTCATTCTCAATCAACGAATGGTGTTCTGCAAAAGTTTTCCATCCACCATTGAAGTACAAGGTACTATCATCTTCTGTCAGTCCTACATCCCATATGACACCACTAGGACCTTTAAGAGTCACAGTTTCTGGTAGCTTTCTCATGACATTCATAGCAAACTTTTCTGGTATTTCCTGCACCATCATCATACATCATTAAAATGCAAGGTAAAATGATGCCTAAAACCCCGTCTCTTTAACACCAAAATCTAAAATGTCATGAAAACTTGAGCACTCGAGTGTCAAATATGAGTATGTCTCCTTGGAAGAAAATATCCTTATACACCCGAATTTGGATATGTGTCCGATTATCATATAGGAGTGCTTGCAACTAGGTATATGGTAACAAAATCACCTTATTCCCTTCAAATTTGCAGCTTGATTGCTAGAGAACAACCCCACAATCAATCCATGCATACAAAAAAGGGGTCCAAATATAAAATATTGTTCATCCTTCTTGAACCTCGATCTTCTAGGGAGTACAACACTACCTTTTACAACCGAGTCAACTCAATGGGTTCTCGGAGTTTCACTTTTAAATAAGCAATTATATATATTTTTAACAACGAAAAGACAAAGCAGGGGAGAGCAAGAGAAGAGGCAAGGGCAAAGACAGGACTTACCAAGCGGTGAAGAAAATCACCATGGAGAAATTGGAAGAAATGAATGGACTGAAAATGGGTCCAAAAGATTTCCTCTTCCCAGTTCCGACAATCCTTACTTGTATCTCCCATTTGCTTTAACCAAACAGATCTACAAACTCAAAACTCAGATGATTAACAAGAGAAAAGAGGACCCATTCCGAAGAAGCAAGCATACTGCTTACTATAGTAGGTTCAACCAACAGCTCAAAGAAAATAGAGTAGTAAATGAAAAAAAAAACCCAGAAATGGTAAGCCACTAACTATACAGAAAGTACATTTCATCTACAGGCTTATCCTCATTATTTATGATTATAAGATAAATGCCTTTGTTTTTGTAGGTCATTTTACTACAAAATTATTTGTTACGATGAAGAACCTAAAGGCATTGTTGACAAAGCTAAAGCAAACAAAAATTGTAAGTGAAGATGATTGAATTGTTAGTACCAGAGAGATTGAGTAGCCGAGCCTGAGTGGAGGAGGCTCTTCAGAAATACTAAGCCTTAAAAGGACGAGCTTTTTTGGGTTTTGGTTCACAAAACAAAAACACGTGGAACACACTTGGCAATTCACAGTTAACACTTCCCACGTTTCGACTTCGGGGGCTGTGCGCTGCACTCTAGTCTGCTTTCCACAAACCCCGTCATGTCTGCTGTATACAACTATACATTGGCCTCCAGGGTGGACAACGTGCGCTACCATCGGACGGATGCTCTATTTTGATCGAATGTAAAATTAATTACGTGCGTGAATAAACATAATGTTCAATTAACTGTTAGAAATGACCAGTTGGTAGAGTACAAGGTTATTAATCTTGAGGTCGTGGGATCAAGTCCCACGGAAGGCATTTCATAATTCGGAGGTCTCTTACGGAAGCTGCTCTCAACCTGGTATTAGAGGTAGCCTACTATCTTATTTCCCCTTTACCCCATATATATGGGAAAAAGGGACAGCCATTTTCAATTAATAAATATTTTATATAATATTCATTTATATTTATTTATTAAAATAAACATAAAAGTATAAATTAATTTTTATGTTCATTTAATAAATAAATAAACATAAACATGAGTGTGTTTAATTCTTTTATATTCATGAAAAAATTAGTTTATTAATTTATTTATCGATTTATTTATTGACTCGTTTATAAGTTCGTTTATTGATTTATTTATAAACTATTTTATTTGATTATTCTTTTTATTTTTTTATATTTTAAATATGAGTCAAAATATAAACTAAATTGAACATAAAATGAACCGTAAAACCTAAAAAACTTAAAGATTAATAATGTAATTTCATTATTTTTTTATGACTTAAGCATAAAAAGGATAGAAAAAGTGTTGGTTATCGAACATATTCACGAAACACTAAAGAAAGAACACGAATATTTTTAAAAATAAATAAACGAACACGAACACAATATTAAAAATTTAAATAAATACGGATCGAACATAAATAAACGAATACAAACACAACAATTTCGTTCAAACTTAATTCATTTACACATATAAGTGTCATACCGGTATACGTACACCACTAGTTATAGTCAAACCAATGTTCATCTGTGCTCATTAATTCTAATTGTCATCAAACGAATGTAATGTTTGTAATTATAATTATAATTAAAAATAAAATATTTGACTTCAGGATATTTTTCAAAATGTAATAAATATTTGGTTTTATTTTTCAGATTATATTTACGGAATTATTCATTGATTTACATGTAGTCTTTAATATGCTAAGTATCTATATTTATATATTCATTTAAAAATAACGATACAGAGGTTTAATTCTGAATTCCATCCATTTACTCTATAAAATTTAAGAAGTTAGTATATTTATTATAATTTATGCTAATACAATTAAGAAGTCCATCCAATTGAGTAACATTATTAAACCTTATTATTGAATCACTAGCTTGAAAATCAACAATTTTACAATTTACATGTAAGAAATTAACAAAAATAGAAATTCAATAATTTATATGCAATAAATTAGCAAAATTCAACCATTTAAGTTTATGTGTTTACCAACAATTTAATTAACTTCTTCAATTTGGTAAAGCATGATGGCTAAAATTAAAATAAATTAAAGTAAAGAGAGTAATTTGTGAATTTTGCAATGCCAATTTAGGAAATGAATATGAATCAAATATAGGCAAAAGACATTTCCAAATCACAAAATTTGCTCTAAAAAGAATGAGTGGAGCAAAGTTAGAAAATGAAAGAGGGAAACTTGTGGTGACCAGCAAGACCCAAATGAGAATATTTTGCAGTGCCTCTCAAATGCCCCTTTAATCCCTTATGGTTTGTTTCACTTTCTTACTATCCTCCGGTTCTTCTTTATGAGCAGCTTTGCCTCACTCCAATGCACCTAAAATGAAGGCCATGAAAACACTTCCATTTCTTCTGGACACATCGGGCTGCGTCCTATCGCTTCTCCTCATTGCTTCTCTTATTCCTTCCTCTCTGTCGTCTTCGTCTCGCGTCTTCTCCGATTCCGAGTTCGCATTCATTTCTCGTCGCCAGCTCTTGCATCTACGCGAGAACGATGACTTGACCGATGATTATGAGTCTAATGTGAAGCTTAATTTCACGTTTGAGAATTCCGCGCTTAGGCGTGCTTACATTGCATTTCAGGCATGGAAAAGAGCTATATATTCGGACCCTTTTAAGACCACTCGGAGTTGGGAAGGTCCCAAGGTTTGTGATTACGAAGGAGTTTTCTGTGCACCGTCCCTCAAGGATCCCAAGTTGATGGTTGTCGCCGGCATCGATCTTAACCATGCCGACATTGCTGGATATCTGCCAGTTGAGTTAGGCCTATTGACTGATTTGGTTCTGTTTCATATAAACAGTAATCGATTTTGTGGGATCATTCCCAAGAGCTTCTCCAAGCTCACTCTTCTACATGAATTGGATGTTAGCAACAATCGTTTCGTTGGTCCTTTCCCCAAAGTTGTTATATCAATACAATCTCTTAAGTTCCTTGATATAAGGTACAATAATTTCGATGGCGAATTGCCATCGGAGTTGTTTGAGATGGAGTTGGATGCATTGTTCTTGAACAACAATCGGTTCGTATCAAACATTCCGGAGACGTTAGGCTCATCTACCGCCTCCGTCATTGTCGTTGCCAACAATAGGCTTTCCGGTTGTATTCCGAACAGCATCGGGAAGATGTACAATACGTTGAACGAGATTGTTTTCCAAAACAACAATCTCACGGGCTGCTTGCCGATGGATATTGGGATGCTTGGAAATTTAACGGTTTTAGACATCGCTTCCAACACTTTCAACGGAGTTTTGGCGAAGACATTTAAAGGGCTTGGCAAGATTGAAGAGCTTGATGTTTCGAATAACATGTTGGCCGGTTTCCTGTCGGACGACGTCTGCCGATTGCCGAGCCTGAAGAACTTTTCTTTTTCTTACAACTATTTCAGTGGCGAGGCTGAATCTTGCCTGCCATTGAACAGGAAGGACATTGTGTTCGACGATATTGGTAATTGCATACCTGATAGGCCTAAACAGAAGTCGGCTAAAGAATGTCAACCAGTGGTAAGCCGACCAGTCGAATGCAGTAAGTCGAAATGCGGCGGTCAGTCACCGCCGAAACCGCCTAAACCAACAGATGATGACCCTTATGATCAATCACCTGTCAACAGGAAGCGGCCTCCACCTCCACCAAAACGATTGCCACCACCAGTTGTTAAGCCTCCCGTCCACTCCCCTCCTCCGCCAGTCAATTCTCCACCACCACCGGTTCATTCACCACCACCACCAGCAGCAGTCCCCTCTCCACCACCAGTCCACTCTCTGCCCCCACCTGTCTACTCGCCTCCTCCTCCAGTGTATTCTCCTCCGCCACCTCGGTCTCCTCCTCCTAACCCAAAAAGAGAAGTCATTATACCACCTAATATCGGTTTCCAATACTCATCACCACCTCCACCAAAGTTCCCAGGATACTAATGAGAACATAATCAGTTGTAATTGATTTTAGTAGCTTAACAATGTTACAACATAAACATAGTGTTGTTTAGTTTATAGCTATTAATCATTCCAAAAAGAGAGTGTTTATAATTCTCTACATGCAATGCCCGCTGGCAATATGTTTATCTGAAAATATGATATTTAGGAGTAAAGGCGTGGATATGGGCTATTGTATTGTCTCTTCAAGTTTTCTAATAGTGAATTGATTATACATGTTTAACTTTTATATTTATTAGCTACAATATACGAATACATACGTTCCCTAGTACGATTGAATCCAATCATAGTTTTAAATTTTTTGTTTTTACAATTTTTTTTATTTGATCTGAAATTTTGAATTAATGTGCACTGTATATTAAAACTATTTTTACATTTTATATTTGAATAACATTGTCCAAAGTATTGAGATAAAAGTCTTATGACAGTCCATGTATCATATTTCGGATTATGTTTTGAATTTTGGTGATATGAGACTAATGGGATAGTCATATCAATGATCGACAATTGATTAAAAAAATTGATATGAAAAATCAAAATATTATATGTTATCATTTATGAAGTAATATCTTTTGTCAGAGATAGATCAAGCCTGAACAATTCATTAATCGAAGAAAAAATATTCATTAATGCAGTACCACCTATTCCCAGTTAATCAAGAATAGGGAATAAAAATGAAAAATCTGACTCTGTCTTGGACCACAATTACCTATACAATCGTTATCATTAAACCCGTCGATATCATATATTCTGGTCTCATCGAGTCTAATGTAAGAATTTTATACAACAATACTATTGGACATGTAATGTTACTCAACACGATCACTTTTAATTCAACTAATGAATTTAAAAAAAACCTTAATTTTATGTTCTCGCGAATCTCAATTACCAAGTTGTGCATCCACGCGTTGTTCATCCCTTCACCCCTTTGAAAAATAAATAAATAAAATAAATTATTCCTTTGCTTGTTTAATTGCTGAGTTTGACTCACTCCTAAGCAAACCGACCAAAACCACACTATACATTAAAAAATAATTAAGAACAAAATAAAGAAGAAGAAAAATTCTAAAAACAGAACGATTGAGAAAATCATCCTTTTAGCTTAATTGACCAGTTCAATG